TGTGTGTGCTCGAGTGTTAGAGTGATGCGTGTGGGATATCCAGGGTGATCCAGTGTATGTGAACAGTGAGATGTTTGGGCGCTGAAGTCGCCATAGCCAATTGAGAGTGAACTCGTATCTGAAAGCCATATCTCTGAGTTTTGAGTGGGCGCATGTCGCCAGTATACTGCGTTGCTGTTTACATGCATGAAAAGTGTGTTTGAGAACGAGTCTGATTGCTTAATGAACATTTCGCGAAGAATCCCTCGAAACCCATCCCTGGCCTCTCGTCCTCGCAATTGGGTGACCGACCATCACAATTTTTGCACCACTGCGTCGGCGCACAGTGGACCATCCAGCGACCCCGACGGGTGATGCCTCATAAGGGTTAGGATATGCCAAGACCAGCCCATGTGGAGGAATGGTACACACATGTAACTGTTAATAAATCAGGCCATGAGTCCTAAACCTAATGAGAATCAGACGGATACAGTAAGGTTAGGGGCTACCCCCTTCTTTAAAAATAGATATATGCTAAGTTGTTAACTTGCCCAGACTCAAACCACATCTGTTATGATCTAATCACAGAGGAATGTCAGGCATGACAAGATAGTGGTATAGGGCCATGGAGACCTGATACATCAGCACCAAAATGAGCACAGCACCATCAAGCTAAGGGGTTATTTTGGTGCTAATGTATCAGCTCTCCGTGACATGATCAGGAGGCCTCCACCATCAAGTAACCGGAGGTGGGAGTTATATTTTGCATGACGCGGACATCGACATAGTTGATGCTGATGTTGACCTTGGGTCGGCTTCAAAATCTGCAACAACCTTTCACCACTCCCCACAAGTTACTTACCGTTAATATCATATACAACCTGAAACCCTGAGCCCTCAAGCAGAGCCTTCACAGTCGGCACATCTGATCTGTCGGCCTTCAAGTGCTTAATCTGCAAAGCAAGAATAAAAGATACAAAAAAAGTAATTAATTATAGGGAAGAGATTCAAAGAAGGGACAACTCAGGAGATCCATGAAGTTGCTAAGGGTTGAGAACTTGAGATCATTGGTTCCAGGAGGACAGGTGTACAGAGCGCTAGGGTGATAATCTGTAACATATCCGTACGCCACGAGTCGACAGATAGGTGCTTGATCAGGGAATGTAACATTCAACAGATGAGGGAGAGTCAAACAGACCCTTTCCCTTCTTCTTCCAGCGTAGCCAGCAATCTGACGTTACCAACCTGCATATTAAGTATTATTAACGCATTGAAAAGCGGAACGGACAACAAAGCTAGGTAAGGAGGGACTCATTTCAAGACACAATACGCTCTACATGCACTTAGACGCTTTCTCGACCCGGCGCATTCAAAATGTTGGACTCATCCGAAAGAAGCTGGTCCAGAAAGCGGCCAAATGCATGTCGAGTGCTGTGTAGTGCAGCGATGCCCAATACTCCAGAATAAAGAACAAGGAAAACCTCAGGGTCATAATTCAGATATCGTTGACCTAATTTGATTCATGTCAAAGATGGAACTAGACTCTACAGCCTAAGTCTGGAATCTGGATGTGAATTACAGGATGGAAAGCCCATTGAATTGAAGAGCTCCAAGTTACTACTGTCTTCACCCGAATAGAACGCCCGGCCATTATCGCTGCATCTGGACTGAAAGTTGGGCCAAATGCAGCTATAATGACCGGGCGTTCTATTCGGGTGAAGACGGTAGTTGCTTGTTTGAATGCAACTGAATTCAACAAACAACTTGGCAGAACCAGAAACCTGAGCCAAAAAAGGACATTAGCAATTGGAGAAATGGAAAAGGAAACTGGATGGACACAAAGACCATACAACAATGTGAACTCAAATTTGGTTTGTAATCAAATGAGTTATGGGCGTCATCTGTCTCCCTGTCCATTTGTACATAGGTCTGCCTGCCCACCTCCTGGCCTGTCCATCTGCCTCTCTGTGTGTCACTCTCTCTCTCTCCTCGACCCCCCTCCCCCTCCCTGAGGTTCCCTCCCCCTCAGCCCCTCCCACCCCTTCTCTTTCAGCCTCTCCACTAACTTATATATTAAAAAAAAAGGGAACCTTATGGTTCCGGCTCCTTATCCATTCTGGAGAGCATCAGTCCGGTTCCTATTCCACCGGCAAGTCAAATAGTAAATACATCCACACACACACACACACACACACACGCACACACGCACACACACACACACACACACACACACACACACACACACACACACACACAGGGCAAACTTGGACTAAAATCTGCATTTGTAAGCACCGTGGCAAAAACAATAAGAAAAAAGGACTGCTTGCCGTGCAGAACTTGGAAAGAAGCCAACTCGTAAAACAAATCAAGATTGAAATGCTGGATTGAGATAAAGACCTATTTAGGCAAACTCCTGGGAAAAGCCACGCATACCTTTGATGAATACTCTGCAAAATCCTCGTCTGCCTCACCAGGAAGCTGCTTGGCTATCGGCGATTTCCCTCTGGTGAGGAGAGTCACCTGAAGGAGTGGAGCACCAAATTTTTTTCTAGAGGGGTAAGTGTTTGCTCTTTTATAACAACAAGGTAGAGAGCCAGCAAGAAAGTAAAAGGCAGGAGCAAAGGAATGAAGGAACAGGGACAGATAGAGGGGGAAATGAGAGCGGAGGTTGGGAGGAAGGAGGAAGGAAAGGGAAGGGAATGGAAGAGGGACAAAAGCAGAGAAACAAGGGCACCTCAAGCAGACAATCATGTCACCCAACAATCAAGTTGCACAGATTCAATCTGTTTTTGCAGGTAGACTTTTCTATACAAAAAAAAAGGTTGCACTGATTCAGGGGCTGCACTTCCAGACATACACGGCAGCCATTCCTCCAGGTTGAGACAATGGCAATGACAATAGGAAGCAAGGCTTTTTTCAAGGCACAGAGCAAATGCTGAAACATTGCCTTAGTTCAAATTGTTCTCTGCAACTCGAGAGCATGACGTTGGAATTGCCGCTAGTGATCGCGGATCGGCATGCTGCAGTGAATATGTACTCAGGCCTCGTACAAACTGGATGGGTTATTACCATCTTCACCCGAATAGAATGCCCGGTCATTATCGCGGTATCTAGACTGAAAGGTGCCCCAAATACAGCTATAATGACCGGGCGTTGTATTCGGGTGAAGACGGTAGTACTTTTTTTTACTAACTTATTAGGTCTGAGCCTCTGAGGCAATGGCCACAATCGAAAAAGCGGCGCCACCTCTTGCTTGATGACAGAAAAGCCGCATTCTGCATTTCACAAGGAATCCTCGACTTCCCTTGGCCAATTCTTTTGGAGTTTCTCCTCTTATCATCTCCCTTCTGCTCTTTAAAAAGCGTTGTGAGCGA